CCGAGCCAGATGCTGTTAAAAGCGGCTCTCGGCGTGGATTTATAGTGGCCCAGAACGATAATTAAACAGGGGAACAAGCTGGAGGGGGGGGAAAACGGAATTGCGTGTTTTGTTTAATTCAGCAATTTACAGGGCAAGAATAATTAGTGGTTTTAAATGTTTTGACACAAGCAGCCCCAATAATCATGATAAATCATATCAGGCATATGCCCAGATCCTTGAAGTGACAGATGACAAACAGAGCAGTGACAAGATGCTCCATCATGCACGGAATCATTGAGTTAATGGAAGAATTATTGCTTGTGAAATCCACTCCAGTCCTATTGTGGGGAACATTCCAATTTATCAAAGCCAAATGAACATTAATTGCTGCAGCCTGGTAAGTTTTTGAGCTGCTGTGACCTTCATTGAATTTTAATCCAAAACAGATAAGATTTACTTCCACACAAGAGGAAACAACACAATTAAACCCAAATGACAGCGAAGATTATGGCAAAAAACACAACAGGCGTAATGACAAAAATATTGATTCCTTTCTACTTGACACTGCGCAAAAAAAAAAAAAAAAGTCCTGCATTTGCATATTTCCCTCCCCTCTTTTCATTCAGGAGATGAATTTTGGATGCTCAAGCCAAGACGAAAGGGGTGGCAGACAGTAATGGAGACTGAATTCCCTCTAACTGCGGTAATTAATGTTATGTCTCATTGGGGAGAGATTAGGAAAAACAGTGAGGGGGAAAAAACAAGTATTATTTTGCTATTAAAGATGCCCTTGAGCTGGGAACATTAGCAGCAGAAGTTGGATTTGGGTAATTGCTGCACTGTATTCATGGCTTGTATTCATACCCCAATGAACAGAAATACAGCCACATGTACCCATCACATGTATCCCCATTCTTAACCTTACAGGCAATCCCCGATGTTTATCCATTCCTATCGGGAGCATCTCTTACTCCCCATTACTGCCAGTTCTGGGAACTGAGCTCTGGTTCTCCCTTTGCTGCCTCCTCCCTCCCCTTCCCCGGGGAAGTAGTTCAGTGTAAAGACAATTAGCTGAATTTAAAGGATAAACGTTCCTCACGCTTTCACTGCATTAAGAATATAATGCAAAAGAACCAAAACCAGGAGCACCAGAAGACTACGTGAAGGATAAAGGAAAATCAACTGTGAAAGATGCCAAGTCCTATTAAATGGAAGGTGTGATTGGATCACTCCTGCAGCTCATTTGCATGATGCTATCCTCACCCCCACCGTGAGTTGCACTCTGCTCCACAGCTCAGACCGGCACTGCCGCATTGCACGAGTTCCCCCTGCTTTCTCGGTTCCATCCTGAAGTTCACCTCCCGACTTCGAGCACCGATTCTACCCCGTCTACCACAAGTGCAGCAAACGCGGAACATACATCTGCATGCATCTCAGCCTTCAGGACCTGTATCCCCAGCCCCATCCTCGTGCACCGTACACTCCAGCTTTACAGGCAGAGAACAAGGCTACCAGAAAGCCACGCAGTGCATAAGCAGCACCAAGATCAACACACACCCAAAAGAAAAATGTTTCTTTAAGGTGGCATTCAGTCAAACAAACAGCGCTTCCTAAAGTGCCATCACCCAATCCCACCAAACGCTTGAAAGTCAGGAGACGCAGATATTCCACAGGCAACCTTAACTCTGTCCCGGTACCCTACCATGCTGCAAATCGGACACAGAATGTGCACACAAGTAAAGGTAAACAGCACAGCTCCTTAAATCAGATTGAAAGATAAGCCCATGCCATGCCCATTCCCTCCTGTCCCTATGTGGAGCAGGTGAGATCATAGCTCTATCTAGGCTGCTGGCAAATGGGTCCCACAGACAGTGTGTGTAGAAGGGGTGGGGTCGCAGTTGCTATTCGTCTCCTATGGGGTTCATGGGGGTGGCCTCAGAAACACTCATGCATAGCAGTCAGGAAGTGTCTCGTCTACAGAGGGGGTGGGTAGGGGAGATTGATTTTGTGACATAAAGTGGAATGAGAGAGAGGAGGGTGTTTAGCAAGTCTAATGAGTAGGGTCCTACCAAATTCACGGCCGTGAAAAATTCCTCACGGATCGTGAAATCTGGTCTTTTGTGTGCTTTTACCCTATACTATACAGATTTCACGTGGGAGACCAGCGTTTCTCCAGTTGGGGGTCCTGACCCAAAAGGGAGTTGCAGGGGGGTTGGAAGGTTATTTTAGGGGGGAGACGGTACTGCCACCCTTACTTCTGCGCTGCCTGCAGAGCTGGCCTGCTGGCGGCTGTTGACTGAGGGCCCAGCTCTGAAGGCAGAGCCACCCCCAGCAGCAGCACAGAAATAAGGGTAGCAGTACCGCAACCCCCCACGCGCACACACACACCACAACCATGCAACCCCCACCCCCACCGCCCCTTTTTGGATCAAGATCCCTACAATTACAACACCGTGAAATTTCAGATTTAAATACCAGAAATCATGACATTAACCATTTTTAAAATCCTATGACCGTGAAATTGACCAAAGTGGCCCGTGAATTTGGTAGGGCCCTACCAAGGAGGGCAAGAAAATGAAATGGTGTGGCCTGAACTAGAACGGCAAGGCGGAATAGGTGACGGAGAAGTCTACTATCTCTGGGGACGGCAAGAGGTTAGGTATTGAGTGAGCACAGCGGCGGGGTCTGGCAGATGACACAGCAGGGAGTGTACGGGATAGTTACGTGGCTTTTATTGGAGTAGCAGAAGAGGTACAACACGTACATCAGGCTGCCTTGGGATGTAGGTTTAGGGTGGGTGAGGGCTAAGGCAGGGCATAGCTAAGGCTGCGTCTACACTAAAAACAGTACAGCTGCGCTGCTGCAGCACGTCAGTGCAGAAATTTAGTACAGCGACAGGAGGGGCTCTCCCGTTGCTGTAGTGAATCCACCTCCCTGAGAGGCAGGAGCGAGGGAAGCAGCAGAATTCTTCCATCCCCCTAGAGCTGTAAAAATGAGGACTTCGACGTAGCTGAGCCAACTTCTCGGGGTGTGGATTTTTTTACACCCATGAGCACTGTCGCTGACTCAATTTCGTTTCTGAGTGTAGACCAGCCCTATGGCTATTTGAGCAAAACACACCCTCAGTTGAAAAATCTCTTTTGAAAACAAAGCGTTTCACCTGGTTTTGTGTAAGCTGTAAATTTCACATGGTTTTGAGGCAAAAACCATCTATCTGCTCCCGTTCACTCAAAACTTGGCCCGGGTTCACTTGAAAAGTTAATGAATCTTTCAACCAAACTGGGCAAAGTTTCAAGTTTGTAATGAAACCCAGCACTGGGGTTTCACTCAGTTCTGCTCGATTCCTACAGGCTATTCCACACGGGAACGTGCCTAGGAGCTACCACACCAAATCAGACCAACGGTCCCTCCTGGACCACGTCCTCCCTCCAACTCTGCTTAGTAGAGGAAGGTGCAATTATGTCATAAAATTTACCCACGGGAAAAGTGTCTTCCTAACCCTGACCACTTAGTAGTTGGCTTATGCCCTGAAACATGAGCGTTTCTATTGCTTTTAAAAAATTGATCCCCTCTAACATTAACTGTGGATGTTCTCATTATCCACATAAATGTCTAATCCTTTTCTGAATCCAACTAAGCTCTTGGCCTCAATGATGTACTGTGGCAATGAGGTTCACAGGTTAATTACGCATTATGAAAGAACAGGATTTCCTTTTCATGATTCTAGGTTTGTCGTCTTTCAGTTCCATTGACTGTCCCCTTGCTTATGAATAAGAGCATCCAATTTACCTTCTCCATCCCATTCATTGTTATGTATACTTCTATCATGCCCTCTTTCCTCTCCTCTCTATGCAGTCCCAGCCAATTCACTCTCTCTTCATATGCAATATATCTTTTTACAGTTACCTATACTTGATGTCCCATCTAAATCCACAACCCATTTCTGTAATGCATTTAGTTAACTTGCTTAGGTTTGATCTTTTAAGAAAGCAGAGCAAGTCCCTGCTCAAGTGGAAAACAAGGATCCAAGTAGCCCAGAAAAATCTAGCAAGCATGAGTTCTGAACCAATGCACAAATTCTGAGCTATGAACAGGTACATTAAACAGGCGTGGATTGGAGATACCTTCCTACAATTGCCACCGTGCAATGCAGTTGGAGGGCACTTTCTCAGGAGTCTATGTTTTCAACCCAGCAAGGCCACTCGGCAATGAAGGAGCAACACAAACATAACCACAACAGCTAAGGGAGGAAGGATTGCTTAGTGGTTAGGGCTTTAGCCCAGGATTTGGGAAACCCAGGTTCAATTCTCAGCTCTGCCACAGACTTTCCTTGGGCAAGTAAGTCACTGAGTCTCTCTGTGCCTCAGACTCCATCTGTAAAATGGGGAGAATAGCACTTCCTCTGTCTCACAGGGTGCTATAAGGATAAGGACACGGATCCTATGGTAACAGAGGCCTCAGTACCTAAAACTGACTGATCCAAACGCTTGTAAGGTGGAAACTGCTTTCCCAGAACCCTGAAAGTATCAGATTGGGTTTTAATGACAAAACAACACAGGATCAGTCCACAGTGGACACCCACGTGCTGGGTAGGCGTCAGCTTGGGAAAAAAAAAAAGCACCAAGACACTGACTCGTCCCACCAACTTGTCTCGTGCCAGAACTTAACACTGGTGAGAAGCATTCTGCCGACAGCCCCTGAGCGTTCCATACTCAGCACACAGTGGGAAGGGAGGCATCCGTATGGATCACCCTGCCCTGGAGAGAATTACCTTTAGAAACAGGCATAACTCATTTTCCAGGCCCATTCAGTCATTTGCCTTGCTCTGCCAAAGCCCAGTAACCAGGGGCCGCTAGGGTGGTTAGGGGATATAGACGTTTGCACACTGGAAGCTGGACTGAGACAAACCGGCCTACCATCCTTTTAACACCCCCGTCTCACGTTCGGCCACTAGCCCCTCCCAGCTGCTCCTCTTGGCCCCCCAGACTGGGCAGGGAAGGGAAGAAGGATTCACTCACCATGACAGAAATGTGAAGAATGTGCATCTGCTCCTCCACGATCTCAGCAGGCTCTTGAAGGGTGGGTGGGGTGGCCCGGGACAGTTGCTCGGCACTGCTCATGGAGACGTGGAAATACAGGGTGCCGTTCTCCAGCCACTGCTGCTTCCAGTGCACCAAGGAAATATCTGCCACAGTGCCAGACATCTCTGCAACAACAAAAACAACCGGGGTTCAGTTTCAACACTCACGACAGAGCTGCATTTGAACGCACGTCCCATGTCACTGCACAACAGGCAGACTACCTTAGAGTGAGAGGAACGAGTTTCTCTCTAGTGGTTTGAGCAAGGACTAGAAGCCAGGACAACTGGGATCTATCCCCAAAACTGCATCCGATCTGCTGGGTGACCTTGGGCATGTCGCTCCATGTCTGTTCCTCATTTCCCCCATATACAGAACGATAACGTGTGAGAATGCTAGGTGTCCCTAGCCTCTGTTTGCCAGAAGCTGGGAATGGATGACAGGGGATGGACCACTTGATGATCACCTGTTCTGTTCATTTCCTCTGAGGCACCTGGCACTGGCCACTGTCGGAAGACAGGATACTGGGCTAGATAGACCCTTAGTCTGACCAAGTAGGGCCATTCTTATGATACTACTACCCTTCCTTCAGAGGCGGGGGTAGTTGTGAGGCCTAATTAATTATTGGCTATAAAGTGCTTTGAGATCTTTGCATGAGATGTGCAATAGAAACACAAGATATTTATTAGAATGTGTTTTTAAACACTGCATAGCCCTTGTGATAGAGCTGTTACGTAAACCCGGTCTTTCTTTTTAGCAAGCTAGGAGACAGAGGAATGGTGTGTATACACACACACACACACACACACACACACACACACACACACACACACAAAATAGGACCTCAGGTTTCTTATGCAATGAAAGGCAGAGGACCTCATCCCTGAAAGACAAGGTCCCTTGACTATCCTCCAACTGTACAGTAGCTCAAGAACATCATGCAGCTCCTAGGGATCGGAGGTGTTCTCTCAACAGGGGTTTTGTCATCCGTTCAAAGCGGAGGAAGAAGCCAGAGAGCAGTTATAAGAAATACACCATGGGTGGCCAAAAACGTTCTGACTCTCCGAGCCGCAGACAGTACACTTCCAGAAGTTCGAGAGCTGGGTGCACCTGCCAGGGCTCAGGGCTTCTGCCCTGCGGCAGGGTGGTGCAGCTAGGGGCTTCAGCCCCACCACCCTGCCACAGGCCAGAAGCCCCAAGCTCCCCCACCAGTCTGGTAGGCAGAGAACGGGGGAGGTGAGGGTGGGTGGGGGGACTCTGCGAGCCACACTTTAACTGTAAAAGAGCCGCATGTGGCTCGCAAGCTGCGGTTTAGCCACCCCTGAGATACGCCTGTCTCCAGGACTAGCTCACTGGCACTGCAGCTACGTTTGGCACAGAAAAGCAGTCACAGCCACTTCCTCAGCACGGTGAAAAAGCACAAGGAGACACCAGCAGGAGGCCGTGCCAATGGGAAAGCAAGCTGCTGCACGAGAGCGTGACACCTGGAATGGCTCCTTTGTTAGCCTTCCTCTGCTGACGTGAACTCCTGCTCTCATGCCCCGATACTCAAATTTACACTGTAAACAGCTTGGGGCTGGGATTGCATCATATTAGATTTTTCAAAAGCACCTAGCGCACGAAGGGCACCATAAACAATCAGGGGCTTGGAAAATTCAGACACCTTCTAGCCAAAAGCAAATGCCAAAAGAGAGGGAGCCTCCGGCACAACCCAGGGACAGCAGCTTGTTCCTGTGCCTCGGCTGCTGCTCACAGTTTTGCCGTGCAGCAGCAGCATGAAACTAAACAAGATCCTCGGCAGCCTCACAGCTGCCAATAAGGTTCTGAGCAACAGCCGTGAAAGAGACAAGCGTGGTCAGTTTCACACCCTGGCTATCCAGTCAAGGGATTGATTAGCAGCTGTCAGTCTGCAGACTCAGGAAAACACCACAGGAATAAGGCTCTCCTAAGTAGCCACCAAGCGTCTAGCCTTTGACACTTTTCTGCAGAAGTCAATGGTTCCATCCAGGCCCCTTCACTCGGCAAAGAAATCCCCCCTGCTCTTCAGGGGCAAATGGATTTTTCCAGCCCTGAAAGCAACATGTGTTTTGCATCAGAAAACATACGACTCCTATGGTCATTGTTTTAGACCGGGATAGGCAACCTATGGCACATGTGCCAAAGGCGGCACGTGAGCTGATTTTCAGTGGCACTCACACTGCCTGGGTCCTGGCCACCGGTCTGGGGGACTCTGCATTTTAATTTAATTTTAAATGAAGCTTCTTAAACATTTTTAAAACCTTATTTACTTTACATACAACAATAGTTTCGTTATATATTATAGACCTATAGAAAGAGACCTTCTAAAAACGATAACATGTATGACTGGCACACGAAACCTTAAATGAGAGTGAATAAATGAAGACTCGGCACACCACTTCTGAAAGGTTGCCGACCCCTGTTTTAGACCAAGAGAACAATCACGCGCTGATAGAGAAAGCCTCATCAAGAAATCCAAACCTTTCCACGGGGCTGGGTTTACCTGTCTATCAGGTTTCTGCTGTCCCCAGCAGGCTGGATCCCTGGCTGCAGTCTGCAGCGACAAGGTTAGGCCAATATTACACACTCCCTTGCTCACCACCTCGCTAATTATTCTATCACCATATCTGAGACAATGGCACCACCACCTGAATCTAATTGGAGGACAGCTAGTTATCTCCACCTTGCAAGCACAGTGACAGCTAGTTTGCCCACTCTATTGAGAATAAAACTCCCGCCCAAGCCTGGAATACATAACATAGTAGGCTTGCATCTCAGAGATGCATGAATTCACCATCACACCTCTGCCGCCAAAGCAGGTTTTCTGCAAATAACCCCGTCCCCATCCCAGCAAATAAATGAAGCTGTTTCCAGGAGCAGAACACCAGCGAAGGTGGCTCTTGCCTTTGGCTCCCTGAAGAACAAAACTCAACCCCAGAGCTCATGTTGAAGGACACAGTCGGTTAGATAAAACTTAAAAGGAGTCTCATAAAATTAAAATCCCACATTCGTACAGCACCTCATCTCCCAAGAGCCTCGAACAGAGTTTGCTTCTCCCATTAGCGAAACATCGCTCCCTCTGGGAGGAACATTGCGCATCCCATAGGACACTAAGGTATGAAGCGAGGAACAGCCCCGTGTCAAAGGAGGGAGAGCTTGGAGAGGCAGAACGTGATCTCACAAGAGCAGGAGGGCTCGTCCCAGTCACAGCCCACCTCCAGTTTGGGGAAAGCGCTACAAGCCCTTTTAATGAACACAAGGAGACGGGGACCAGTTTAAATGTCATTTGAAAGACAGGACTTCCATTAGCACCGAGCAATCTGCTGCCACTCGGGGGCACTCCAGCAAAAGTACCCTTTACACCTCTTGCAGCACAACTGGCCTTTCCTGCCAAGTTTTGGAAAGGAGGTTTCAGCCATTCATGTTTATTCCCATGACTATGGCTACGTCCACACTTAAACCACTACAGTGGCACAGCTAGAGCAGGCCCCCTGCAATGTGTGGAGTGTAGACACTCACTACAGCGACAGGAGGGGCTCTCCCGTTGCTCTAGTTTATGCACCTCCTTGAAAGGCGGTGGCTATGGCAACAGAAGAATTATTCCGTCAACACTGTCTACACCACGGGTTAGATCGGCTTAACTACGTCTCTCAGGGTGCGGATTTGTCACACCCCTGAAAGACCGTAGCGATACCAATGTAAGTTTCCAGTGTAGACCAGCCCTGAGACGGGGAATCTGCCGATGCTTCTTTGCGGTTCTCAGGACTTGCCTCCCAGGCTGGAAACATAGAAGATACTCCAGAGTAAACATCCCCCCCCCCCCAATTCCTACTCCTTTCCAGGAACGTCCTCCTCCCCACCCGAATTCCTGCATGCGGTGCCTCTCCCCATCTCATCACTTCTGACTCCCCTCTTCCCCCCTCCGCCAGACTCTCCTTGAGGTCTGTCACCACCATCGACCCCATTCTCCCTATCCCCTCTCCTGCGCGCCTTGACCATCTCTCACCTTGATTACCAAGGCCTTGTGTGACCCCTCAGCCTCTCCATCCTCCAGTGTGGCCCGAAGGCTGCTGCTGAAGGTACCTTCCCTGATCCTACACTGGCATCTTCCCCCACTTCCACTTCCTTCCGGCATTCCCATCTCACCTCAGCCCATTCATCATCATCACCTAGAGGCCTGGGCCTACACAAATCCTCCCCCACCGACGTGTCTGCCTCATCGCCACAGTGCCTAACTTCGCTGTTCCTTTTGCCTCCTTCTCCCCATTCTCCACGCCGTATCTCAGAATGCTCCCACCTATGCCGGGAAGAGCCTGGCTGTTCTCACCCACCCAACACCGCCTCTTCTCCCTGTAGCACCCACTTCAAAATGCCCTTCTTCCACGGATCCTTCCTGCCCTCCCTCCCCCACACCCACCCTTACCCAAACTCTTGCCCTGTGACTGGTTTTCTGTTCGCCTCCTCTACCTTACGTTGCAAGCTCTTTGGGGCAGGAAGTGAGTCTCACCCCATCCAATCAAGCACAGGTATGCGAACAGCAACATACAAGCGGTTTGTTTTATTAATAGCAATAGGCATGATCAGATGCTCCTTTTCCTGCATCAAAGATGGTGTCCATTGCCCCAGCAGGAGGTCTGGTTAGGGTGAGCTAAAGCCCCCATCTGGCCATAAGGTCTATGCACTTGCAGAGTAGCAGAGCCTTTCCCTGCCCCCCAAAAACGCTGGTTTGTGTAGTTAGCTAGCCCAAAGAAACCAAGCAATAGCCTTCGCGCCCCATCCTTGGGAACAGGTAAAAAGTCTCCCATAGCAGAGCCCAGGAACTAGCCACTAGGTCACCTGTTCGTGAAAAAAGTCCGAGAAGAGACCAAGGAGTAAGAGCCCTTCCGACTTTGTAACTCCATTTTCTCTTTGCCGCTTCTACAATCCTTACATATAAACATTTCATTGAAGTCTTCAAGTCACATTACTATCAAACTTAAAAGCAAAAGGGCCTAAATGCATTTGGTCGAGAACCAAGACGATTCCCATAAAAGCAGATTATGCTGACATGATGAATATAAAATGAAACAGCAGATATTAAAGTTGGAGAATTGTTACTGCATGCCTTCCG